GATCTTGGGGTCCCTGGCCACAAGCCCTCCCCAGCGCGACAGCACTGAATAAGGCACCTCGAGCTGCTCCAAGCCACCTTAAAATCCACTTCCTCACCCTTTCTGAACCAAACATGCTAATTCCAGGGACGTGCTCTTTTTGTGGGGAAGCCAGGCTAGCTGGACCCTAAAGGATGCTGTCAGGAGACGCCCAGCCAGCGGGTAAGCAGCGGGCAAGGGGGAGGCGCAGGGATGCCCGTGCCACGCCAGGGTCAAAACCGAGGGCAGCAGCAGGAGCCGGGATGCCCGGCGGGCTCAGGAGAGCACCTGGAATCGGGGCCTGAGTGTTAATGAGTGCAGAGAGCTAAACAAGAAGTGCCCCAGCGGCGCCGTCTCAGTGTGCTGCTGTGGGGATGCCCTGCTGCCCGACGGCGACATTAGTCCGTGCAAGGGGTCTGGCGGCGGCTCGGCCAAGGAGGGGCAAGCGAGGAAGCACGTGCAGTTAGTACCGTTACCTCTTGTGCCTTGGGGTAGGAGCGGGCGGCAGGAGAAGCTAGGGAAGCAGCTGCTGCTGGCAGGGGGCTCGGGGGCTTAGTTCCCTCCAACAGCTCATAAGGCTCGGAGATATGGAGGGTCTCCTGCGGGAGGGTAAAGATCACATAGGCAAGGTGGGCAGAGGCAGCAAGGTGGCAGTCGTAGGAGCCCAGGGACCCTGCCATCCTGCCCCTCTCCCCAGCAGCAGGCCAGCACCTTGGCCCCTGAGGACATTGTGGCTCTGGCTCCCTGTTCAGAGCCACCGGCAGGACAACGGGGCGACCCACTCCCACCTAAGAGCCTCTGGACACGAATTGGAAGGAATCCCCCGTATCGCCACCAAGACAGCCCCACACGTGCTCTCTGGCAAGGACGGGACCCCAGGCAGTACCTGCCCCGGGTGCTGCACAGCCATGCCAAGCCCCTCTCTCACGGGCACTCACAGCCCTTGCCGAGGCCCCTGCTAAAAGCCTGGACTGCTCCGGGGTCCTGCAGCACCCGAGCAGCACGGCAGGGGAGATGCTGCTGCTCCCAAGCCTGGCTCTGTCACACTTCCCTCTCTCCCTCCCAACCTGGTGATGGTCTCTGCAGCCCACGGAGAGGCTCTGAGCAGCCGGGAGCACCCAGCTCCGGCCAGAAGCCGCTCGGGAGCACTGGAGCCGCTGCAGAGCAGAGCTTGCAGCGCACCAGGCTCATCGCTGCTGGCGACAGCAGCTCGGGCCACAGCAGCAGCGCAGCCCTAGGGATCATACCCCCCTCTCCCCACTTACGTCTCTGAGAGCTGAGGACATTTTGGGGAAGTTCCTGCCGCCTGTGACGAGCTGGTAGCGCCTCTCCAGAGACACAAGCTTCTCCTTCTCCTGAGCACAAGGTGACAGCAAGAGCAGAGGCAGATGATGGTTACCAGCACCCCGTGGCCGGTCCCCCCCGAGCTCACCCCGACCCTCATCAAGAACCAGCGCATCTTGTCCCCTGCCTCGGGCACCCCCAGGGTCGGGGCGTGCATTTTGATGCCCTGGTCACTGCGTTACCTTCTGCAGGAGCTGCAGGACGCCGTTCCTCTCCCTGGCCAGGCGCTCGGCCTCCTGGGCGCTCTGCAGCCGGACCTGGG